TGGGGGGGGGGGGGGGGGTTTCTTTGAAAATTATGTCTTTTTAAATTCTAAATGTGCATTTGCTACTTATTTTTATTGACCGTTACAATAAATGTCTTAAGTTTATCAAATGCACAAGTTTGTCTTTAGTTTAACTGTGTATGTTTTCTTTTCAAACGAACATTTTAAAAAAATTTTTTAATTAATTTTTTTTTCCTTATTAAATATAAATATAATTTTTCATCTATTTCAGGCAACAGCAGAGAAAGTTCAAGAGATCAGGGAAGTGACCCGCATAGAGCGCATAGGTAAAGTATGGGATGCAAAATATACCATGCATTTGAAAATGTTGTGGTATGGGGGATATAGAACTATCTCCACTATGGAGTATCAGGGTTCCCGCGGCCTCCTTGAATTCAAGGAGTCCTTGAAAACTGCTTGAATTTGCATTCAAAGGAAAATGTCCTTGAAAACTCCTTGAATTTGCATTCAAGGAAAAATCTCCTTGAAAACTCCTTGAATTTTGCCAGATCGGACAAGAACACGTGTACAGGGTGACTGCCAGGCCCCGGGGATCCCGGGGGCCCCTGGAATTACCCGGTCATTTGAAAAAAATCGCCGAGACCCGGAATGCAACGGGAATTTGAAGAAATCTGTAAATTGCCCCGTGAAAGACCCGGGAAAATACATAAACGTTCTCGAAAATTGAAAACCAAATCCGATAACGTCCTTGAGTTCATTTTTGCCGGTCGCGGTTGTGATATAAAATTCATTCGGCCTTTCCCGGCCTGAGAGTACGTTACCCACACACAGGCAGCTATGGCGGCAACAAGTGGAGTGTATGTGCGATACCGAAGCTCGATCGGGAAAAATCAAGATCTACTTTCGCTTTTCGTTGCCACTTAGAACTTTGCCGGTAGGACCTATAGTAGTCTGATAGCGCCACATTTCTAACATGCAGGTTCTGCATTACAAACGCTGTGTCGCCATGAAAATAAATCGTTTGTCCTGTGCTGTCACTTGTGGAAAAAAAAGAAAGAAAAGGAAAGTTATACAAGCTTCTTGTCGGGCTCGCCATCGTGACCGGTCATTGAACCTGTGCATTTTCGTCACATCGTGAGTATCGCGATGGTTGAGGTCACCAAAGTTCATGCAAAGTCTGAGCGCTGCGAAGTATAGGACTCGGGAATGGGGGGATTATTGATTTATTTATTTTTAAAAGACGCACGCTGGGGAAGGGGGGGGGAGGGTGAAGGCAACACCGGATGACAAAAACTAAACTTGGAAGCAGATTTTACTTTTCAGAATTTTGATTACTACTATCTAGATCTCAAGCTCTCTGCAATGCGCGCTTTGGTGCAGGCCTTGTATGGAATCGGGATCTGTCATACTCAAACCTAGTAAGCCATGTGTTTGTAACTAAAGGGTTCCCGTTTCATTGGGTAGGTGATAGTAAATTATATGTACAGTAGTCTCCGCCTAAGATCCCACCGCTTACGATCCCGGTTCGCCTAGGATCCCGCTGTTTTAAGAAAACAGAATTTTTACTATACAAAAGTCACCCCTAAGATCCCGCTCTGATTCTCTCTTAAAAAGGTCTACATTCAGCTAAGATCCTGCATTTCAGATTACATGTATAATTTGCGGAACAAAATCTCGGGCGGGCACAGCCGATCAACCAAGGGGGAAAAGTTGAGATCAATAAACTGTCCGTCGCGTCAAAGATATCGTGAATGTGATCACATACATGTTGTAAAACTCGATGAAGCGATGCAATGTTTGCCCCAGACGGGATCACACCGAGGTGTGAACTGACCGACACGTTTGTTTTCCCCACGTATCGCACTCACACCTGAGCTCTCACCCTAAACTTACATCACTCGCTGGGTGGGTAGGGACTATATGTTCGCTCCAGGCGGGATCACATTGAACTGTGAATTCTTCCCCGACCATTGCAGCAGTTGTCTCTACTCCCGAATTTGCGAGACAGACTGAATTTTAATTGGTGTGTTCACAACGTAATGGTGCGTAACGACAAAGGCGGTTGGGGTGGGGGGGGGGGGGGACTCGGTCAGAGATGGCAAGTTATAAATTTTCGACAGGTAAAGGAGAGGGGCAGCTGGATAAGCGTAGATCTTGAGACTCATGATAGGATAATTCGTGAAAATGGCATGCCTCATGCCACTATGCACTGTGATAGGTCATCAGGGTTAACCACACTTTGCTCGCCTTATGTCATAAACCCACCAAGGGGTCACGTCAGTTCATTCTAGAGTGGAGGGAGACCATTTTACAACGATTGTGAGCCTTAACATGGGTCACTGAGAGTACTGTTGTATTCTATATTTGA